AGTGATTTCTTGGCACTGTCCTGTGCTGGCCCAGGAGTTGGACTTGATAATCCTTGTAGGTACTCAGCATATTCTATGATTCTATGGTTCTATGAACACATCGATTAGGAGAAGGCAGTAAGGTAGTGAGTAATCAAACAGTTGAGGTTTTTTTGTGAATCAGAAAATGTAATAGTTTAGCAAATAAATTATTTAAATGCTATGTATTTTCCTGTCTTTTATCTTTTTAGGTAGGATTGAAATGCATAGAAAGGAGGTGACTGACATTTCTACCTTCCAGGCTGTTTTTCTTTCCTCAGTCATCCTGGGCTTTCTACTAATTCTGACTGGAGAGAATTAGACCCAGGAGATGATCCCTTTGTGATTGCTTGTAGGTGAACGCAGCACAGAGTATCTACCTCTGAAGCCCTGTGGGTTTAGGAACAGCAGATTCCATACTGGGGTCAGTTGGGGCCATGACATCTTCTAAAAGATGGCTAGCATAGCAAAACTGAAGGCTCTGTTTAAATTTAAGTAGGTGCTGAAGGGAAACTTTCACCTGTTCTCCTAGCTACAGTCAGTGTTAACTATGAGAGAAAAACTTTAATTGACTCATCAGATGTATTTTTTTCCATATTACTTAAGATCCAGGTCTTATAAAGCTTGTATGCATACTTTAATTAAAAGTTAATTTCTAATCTTTTATAAAAAAGAGGCATCAAATCTTTACCATTTCACTGATTCTGAGGATGTCATATAATGGCTGTTTCCATTGAAATCACTCCTTAAAATGACTATAAGTTTTTATTGGCATACATGTTTTCTTCTGTTCTTAACCAAAATGTGTTGAGCTATGAAAATTACTTAAAATTACTGGAATTTACTGGATTATGTATTCTTCAAGAGGCATCTTATGTGCACAATGAATGTTTCCCAATACTAAAAAAAATACTTCAGAAGTAATAAAATATGGCCCAGACATTGGATCTGTCTTAGGGTTTCATAGAATGGAATTTGATTAGTAATGAAATATTATTTTTAAATAAAAAAATTAGGCCTAAGTCAAATCATTGGTCACCTTACCAATATGATTTTGAAAGTGTGTGAAACATTACATTTTATGAATTAATTAGGAGGACGAAGGAATGGAGAAGAACAAAAGAATGATTACATCAATAATCTTTCTTCATTTTGGAAAATCCAGAAAAGAAGATAAATGGGACTGCTGAAAAAAGCCTGGCTTCAGCTTCTTGTTAGCCAGTGCTTCACTGCTGTTACAAGGCTACTAGTAAGTTCCTTCAAAGCCTGTGCTTCTCCATGCTGGTTCCCTCAGCCTCTGATTTTTTTCTTCTAATAACAGAATTTGTACGTTGGACTAATGCTAAAATGAGAAATCTTCATTTTCTTTTGGAATAAATTTTAGGATACAAATCTCTCAGCTGCTTGGAGCCCACTGATTTTAGCAGGCATCATTCTGAGATGACGTCAAGGACGCTTAAAGGTCTAGAATGAAAACTGAGGGCCAAATCATAACCTGTCCTTCATTCAGCAGTTTCTGTGTAGCAGCAATTTTGCTTTGTCACCTAGCTACATGGCATCATTTATTCTCTGTTGGGATTACATGCTGATTCTTTAAATTGTGTGATGGATGGAAATATTAATTGATTTAGTAGATGATGGTAATAATAGTAGTAATAATAATAGTAATAAATTCAACAATTTAAGTACCAGTTAATTCAAGTACCAATTTTTGGTACTCCAGTACCAAGATGCAGTTGTCCTGTTGTTCCCCAGATGGGAGTGGCTCATCATGTCTCCATCCATTCACAGGAAACTGGGGAAAGCCACAACAGGAAAGGAGGCCCTTGCTGTCCTGGGTTTTAATTTTCCTCACAGCTACATGAAAAGGAAGTGCTACCTTTATCTTCACTGACAGGTAGTTCTTCATAATAGCAGCAGATGCAGAGGTCTTCTGAGACCCAAGTGAGTCTCAGGAACTTAAAGCTGGTTCTGCTGTGAGCAGGAGGTTGGATTAGAGGTCTTTGGTGGTTCTGTCCCACCTGAGTTACCCAATGATTCCATGAGGTTCAGTCTCCTCAATCAAAGATAGGGGGTTTGTGTATAGTTAATTGAAGTTATCTATTTTTTAAATTGTATTTAACAATCACATTTGAATTATGAAACGTCAAAAATTCCATTAGAACACTGTCTCAGTGGCTTCTCCAATTCCATCACCTACTTTTTTCCTGTGGCTTCACAGTAGGATTTGATAATTTTATAAAATGCAGTAATACTTCCTGTTTTCTGCGTGATTTTTTTTTTAAATCTGTGTTGGTATTGGCTCAACCTTGCTTTCTTTATTGGTCATTATGTAATAATACATATGAGAAAGTCTGTGTGAAAGAGTCTTCTATAATTTTATCCCCATTCAAATATTTTTTTCATTTTCTTTTAAGTTATCATCATTAGAAATGAAAAAGTGAAACCACAAGTCTTCTGTAGAGACATGCCATTTCATTTCTCTTGTGGGCAGTTGGTGAGCAGTCATATTTATTTAAGAATGCTCGGTCTGTTTCTTAGATTTGAGAGATGTCTTTTTGGCATTATGGTTGTAGTATTTTTAATATACTAATGGTTACAAACTGAGTTTTAGTGTGATCTATTTCACCCATTCATATTATTCTTCTGCTTCAAATAAGTTCTTGATGATCAGTTTCTTCAGATTAATGTTAATACATTTTTTTTTCCAAATGAGTCTGCCTATTTCTCAAAGGAATTTAATGTAGTCTGTGCCATTGGTGTCATCAACAATAGGATTAAGTAGTAGGATTTAATTTACTGACCTATAAAAGAAGTCAGAAATAGCTGTAGCAGTTAAATTACTTGTGGAAGAATTGTTTGTTTATCTCCCCAATATTCCTGTGGTGCATTTTTGAATGACAGATCATTTAAGCTGGCTTGCACATCTGAATAACTGACATTTTACCAATATTTGGTTACCATATTCCATATACTTGTTAGTGTAAGAGGCAGTTTAACTGAAAAATGAATCCTAATAAAACGCCTTTTTAGTAATTCGTTTTGAAAACCATTTGACCTTAACTACAATGAAAGTAGACTGTAAAAATCATCATAGATTCCCTTCCTTGAACTTTTCATAATGCTGAAAAATGACTGAGGGAAAGAAGAAAGATCCAGTTACTGTACCCTGTTTGCACAGCTGTACTTCATTGAGTGGAGGCTTGTGTTACACACAGTTTGTGATAGGAAGTAAATGCTTTTAAAACAACTAAGGAGACAGGTCTTTAACCTCCACCTTTTCAAATGCTTTTTTCACTCATTTAGCTTCTGTTGAGGTCTTGAGAAACATTTCATACACAAATTATTATTGAATACTGAAGCTCACCTGAATAATTCATTTCCTGGTTTGTTTATTAGGCAGAGATGCATTGAGATGAGTTTGGTTGGTGTTCTTTTGGTGTTTTCTTTTTTTGAGAGACATCACAAATTATTGATATAGTGAACACTTGTTCCTTCAGGAACAAATGCATTTGAAGAAGAAAGAATTCTTAGACTCAGTGTTAAGTGTTATTTGACAGTTGAAATTACACATTTGTTTCAGCAATTTTAAGTATTTTTAAGGCCCTAGAGATAATTTTAAAATTATTTTGTTATATTAATTATTAAATTGTCAAAATTAATTAGATTTAAAACTCCTAGTTGCTAGCATACAAGATGTTACCTCCTGTTATAAGAGTCCCCTAAATGGTAAAGGTACGTTCAGATTCATTAAGAGGATTTTTTTTTACTTACTTTACACTAGAAGTACATGTTAATCACCAGACCTAAACTATTTGATGTAAACTTGGTTGCAAACAATCACAGGACTTTAGACAGCCATTATAAAATAGTTTTCTGAATGTGATTCTAATGTCTGCCAGAGGCACTTCTCTAATGGCTCTGGTGAAACAAGGTCAGTGGCAATGGGGGTGTGCAGCTGGCAGACAGCCACTCAACTTTTAATTTCTGTAATCGGCTGAGGCTTTGTGTATACTTCATCCCTTGAAGTACATGAGACCTTAAATTAAGAATTATGATAAACAGGCATTATTTGGGCTCCATTGACTGCATGCTTTTCCCTTTTTTCTGTAATTAAGGTAATCCTTATAGCTGATGGCCATGACTATTTCTATTTTCAGTATCCCACTTCACACTGGCCAGATAAAGCGCAGACAGGCTACCCCGGTCTGCACTTATGTGAGAAAATGCCTTGAAATATAATCAGGATTTTGAAGTATTCTTCATTTCAGGGCATTAGAGGTATCATGCCTTTGAAGGACGTGGCTGACACTGATTTTGCCCATATTCCGGCATTTTTTTTAACTGTAACAATAGAGCCACTGCTCTCCTTTGGCTGTGTCAAGGCTTCCCAGCAAGCATCAGTTTGTTTTTTCCATTTGTCACTAGTGGGCAGGCAGTGGCTGTGTTTTGTGGTCTGTGGCACAAGTGGGTTGAAGATTCGCACATTCCAGAAAAATGTAAGCATAAAAGCTGACACCAGTTAAGTTCTTTAAATTAGATACATACAATTTTTGGAACACTTTGTGTGCCCTTCTAGTCTTTAAATATGTCAAGTGAAAGCATGAGAGCATCCTCAGTCTTTGTCTCTCTGAATCCCATACAGAGCTCCAACTGACTCATGTTACCAGAAGTCGGATGAGGCTTTCTGGCTGTTTAATTCTCATCTCACACATCCTTCTGCTCTTCCAGCAATGATTTTAATTCCTGCTACAGCCTCTCCTTACTTCATGAAATTTACACTGACTTGTGTGTGCTGACAGACATGTAATCCTGCCTACACAAACTCAGTTTTGAGCATTAGGTTTTATTATTTTATGTTAATGTAAAATAGCAAAGTGTAAATTGGAGGATTAGTTGCTTCTAGCTTAAGAAAAAAGGGCCTTACAAAACAAATGTTTCTTCTCTAGCACAAACCTCATTAGAAATTTTGTGTTTTGCAGAGGTTAATATACTGTGGGCTGCACACCAAGTACACCATAGTTCAGAAGATTACAACTTATTCACAGCCTTGAGACAATCTGTACTGCAGAAATACACCTCCTGGGTAAGTTGCACAAGATTTGACAAACAAATTAATATCAACAAGTTTTAGTAAAAGTTAAAGCATAGCATTTATTTTCCTTCAAAGAAAAACATAATTTTTTAAAAGATATTTGACACTGAAGGCACAGAAGATGAAACGGAAGAATCTGATAATCATAAGGTTTAAAATATGTTCACTAATGTACAGCAAACATGAAAATAGCAACAAAAGTTAAAGAAGGCTAATTATATAATCCTGCATTTATATTTTCATAGCTTTTTGAGTAGAATGGAGAATTTTCATTCAGTTATTCATACATGAATACAGAAAAAAAGCAGAGTATAATTCAGCTATTTCAGAATATGTCTGTCTACCTAAAAGGAGCAGGGACAGAAATAATCATTAAAATTTGCTTTGGACATGCATATGATTTATTTGTCTCTGCTCATTCATGTCATATCAGTACCCTTGTAGGTAAGAACAGTATGCTACATAGCATCATTTCAGATAAAATTAATTTGAAATCGTGAGCTGTGTACATATTCAGTATCTATGTACAGATTTTAAAAATTATATTTCCAAATGCATTCAGAAATGTAACAATATTTAGGGTTTAGGTCTGCACCCAGGGTAACTGCTGATTTCCTAAGTTGAGCCCTCATGTTCTCTTTTGACTGTTTTGGGTTTTTAAAATCAGATTGTAGTTTGTCTGGTTGTGTATTCTTCAAAATTAATAACTTCAACATTTAATTTCCAGAGTTAGAGTTCAAAAGGGATATTAAATGTATTTACATATACATATAATTATATAATTATATGTATTCTCCAGTGAGGTATAATATGGGTGGTGAAGGAAACCCACAGTCCTTTGGCAATCTTTCTATCCAGCCTGTGAGCAAATGACTCAAAGTCAAGAGTGTGGTCACCCATGGAAATCCCGTGTAACTCCATTAACTTGGGTAAAGTGGATTTGTGCTTATGTAACTGAACATGGACTTAGTCTCTTGTTCATAACTGTCTTACGTGCATGACATTAAATTAGTTAAAGTGCTACATTCCAGGGAAATTTTCTTCTGAAAATCATGAAGGAGTACTATTTCTTAGATCTTTTTCTTAATGTCTTCTATATAAATTCTTGTTGTTTATTTATTAAGAAAATAATCATGTGATGTTAGCAAGATTACCTAGAATTTAAATTACTGTAATGAACAATAGCGGAAGGGATGTCTGTGACAACCCTGCTTCCTCTGTAAATACTGCTATGTTAAAGATTTAACCTTTGCCCATTTACCCATTGGGACCATATGTGCAAATGCTTAACAAAAACAATAATTCAAAAAAGACAAAAAGCCTGTGTATACATATGGGTGTACATATGAGAACTTTGTCTGATGGCATGATTTTGAGGGTGATACTTCAGAGAGCATAAAATACTCTGAAGACCAAGATGTTTGGCCACCTTGGATTCCAAAGGCCATCCTCAGGACCACGCTGATATCACTTGGCAAATAATATGTGTGCATTTAAAATTCATATGCTTTGTGCAAAGGGAAATGAATCTAAGAATACATGGTACTTTTGTGTGCCAGGTTCTTTTCACCAAGTATTTGATATTAACCAAAACATATGGTTAATGTAAATACTGTTTTGCCTCCTCCCTGAACTTTTCAGACATACACCAGTTTTCTTTCTGCAACGCCTTATTGTGCATAGTCACAATTCTTGCTAACTCTTACAGAACTGCTATTTTTTTGCACTGACCGTTTTATCCAGAACCATGGATGGATCTGCCTTGAAACTGAAACTCAGTGAAATCATTAGTTAATCTCAGAATGATCTGATCTTGTTGAATGTGTACTATACTGTTCAATGGGTTTGACATCCAATTTTGTGGAGAGTGTGAGAAACTTAATGGTGGATGGTGTGGGATTATGTGACTGTTCTGTTGCCAGCTCTGTTGTGTTTTAAGTTAAACATTGTAAGATAAATAAATCAGCACTTTAATCTATGACTGAAAAGATATGAAATAAAAGAGAATAGAAAAACATGCTTGACAATCAGTAGTGTGAGATGTACTCCTGATTTTGGAACCGAATGTATAATGCTTCATGTTGCTTGCATACACAGTGTTTCTGTTTCTCCACTGGAGGGGCCATGGAGGAGCAAATCTACTGTGTAGACTGAGAGAGACTGTTGAGGCCCCATTTAGTGGGAAAAAAGATGTCAAAAAAAAGTAGATAAATTTTTAAGAAAAAGACAGCAAGCTAAAGCAAGATAATACTATATAAATGAATGTAAAAGTGACAAAACAGTCAGAGTGCAGTTGTGAGAGATTTGCACATGCTCTTTGAAAAGCTATGATTTAATGCTTTGAGTACCATTCTCAACTTTAAGGGTAAGATTCAATGCAAGTATTAAATTCATAATAATTTGGTCACTTTAGATGGTACATTTAGATAAAGTGTTGAACTATGCCTTGGTATAAAAGCAATGGAAACATCTACATACAAGTCTGGAAATGGAATAGGGAACACAGTTTTCAGTGCAGTCACTTCTTGTCTACTGGCAAGTCTGCCAGGTCTGGGATCTGTAAAAAATGGGTAGGCTCTTTTGACTTTTTTTTTTTTTTAAATTTTATCCTTGCCTTTAGCTGCTGCAGAGTTCTCACAGGAGCTCCTGCCCACACAAATTTGCTGTCAGCAGCTGCCCTGCAGCCCCCCATGCCCCACAGATCCTCTGCAGCCGCATCGGCAGGTGGCCCCAGAGACCCAGAATGGAAACTCAGCATTCCTGCTAAACCTCAGGCGTTTCAATGCACTCCTTTTCTGCAGTGGAAGTGGTTATAACCTTTTATTTGCAAATGGGAGGAAAAAGGAAGAGCTGCCCACATGGGAGAGTGGGCCATGGACCTTTCAAAGGGGCAGTGCCTTTGGCGTGGGGGTTCACAGCTGCAGTGCGGCAGCTCAGATGCAAATAACTCTGCACCCCACTCTGGGTGCTTTTCCCGTCAGCTACTGTAGCACTTTGCCAATCTTTGCTGCTGAATTCCAAAGTGAGAAAAGATCTGTCAGTGTGATAAAAGTTTTCTTGTAGTTTTGACCAGAAATTCCATTCTGGAGCCAAGAAAGCTTTTCCTATACAAACTTGTTAAAGCTGGTACATTGCCATGAAATCTTTTGATTTGGTGAATTGGCATTTCCAGCAAAGAACTGTTTAATATTTTTTTTTTCCCTGACGTTGCTCTTCTTGTTTCAGTGGAACCACAAATTGGAAAAGTCAAATCTTGGTATGGGAGAAGTTTTCATTTCTCCCTATGAGTTCCACTTCTGTAAATGATCTTTAAAATCCTTTCTGTGCAAAATAAAGCTTACACTGCAAGAAAATGTGAGGCAGTTAGTAAAGCTTTCTCCTTTGACAGTTTCAAATTTACCTATAGATCTATATAAAATTTCTTTCATCCCACCACTTAGCAGGGAAATCCTAGTACTCTTGTGTAAAGTAAGTTAGGAAATAAATATGAAGATGATCCTTCTTTCCCCTTTGAGTCATCTGTAAATACCACCAAATTGCTTCTGATACTTTTAGGGAAAAAGCATATAATTTTTTAACCCTGCTTTCAATCCTGTAACCACTTCCATGAACAATCTGAAAACCATCTGGTTTGGTTTTTTGGGCTTTTTTAAATCAATTTCCTCTCCATTCCTTTTTAAAAAAAATCCTGCTGTTATCATGCCATTAGACAGAAACTTAGTCCCCCTCTATTACCTTTTAATTCCTTTACTTCTTGGAAAACAGCTTCCAAGACAGAAACAGAAACACCCCATAGGTAATTTGTGGGGCAGCTGTGATCCATGAAGCCTTTAAATGTAGATTTTGAAATCCCAGCTGTCGCAGCCCTGCCAGGTGATACTGCAATGGCTTCAGGGTTTTGTCCTAGTGTTTCAGACAGTCTGGTGTTGAAGCCAGCAGACAAAGCTGATATTGCAAGGTCCTGTTCCTCCATTGGTTTGTCACAGTGAGATGTGTCTCTGGTGACTTTCTGGAGAGAATCAGTCACATCACTGGGGTGGAAGTGCAGCTGTTTCACAGCCTCAGTGTGACTTCTAATCTGTTGGGCAGCCCTGTTGGGTAAAACTCAGAGAATCCTGGTTTTACATGCTATATCCAGACCTACACTAAAGGAACTCCTGGTCCAGGAGGCCTGTCATGGCAATTGGACTGCCTTCTGGGATGTCAAAAGATTTGATATTTTGTGAAAAGGGCAGTAGTAATTCGGAAATATATTTTTCTAATTTTCCTGTGCTTCACAGGGAGCTCTTGTTGCCAAACAGATATTCCCTGAGTGCTAAAGAGATTTAAAGTTTTGAAGATACCTCTGCTACCGTTTAGTTTAGGAAAAATCTCCGTATTCTAGAGAAGTATTAACTTTTCAATGCAGGTGATATAACACAATGTCAGGTAAAAAGGAAAATAAAAAGATAAGATCTTTCAAGATCATCCTTTTTCTGAAGAAAAAAGACTGACTTTTAACATATGAAGGTCTTAGAAGTTTTATTCTGTCGCTCAGCCAGTCAAACAATTAGTTGTGGATTTCCCAAATAAGCAGTTTTCTGATACTTTTTTCATGCTAGCATGTTTTTAGGAATAAGCACTATATTGGGACTTTATGGGAGATGCAATGAGAAAGTTGAGGTGAGAATTGTAATTAACTTGGAAAGCCAAGCAAGTTGTCTTACCCTCATGGTGCTTATGTAGGGAGTTTGGATGGAAAATCTATAGTGTTATAAATTTGCACCTTGTTTAGTCTGTGATAATTCTTCCCTATAGGGCAGCCCTTAATGTCAAGGCTATGTTGCTGTCTGCTCCATATAGTACACAGCATAAACATCTAATACCAGAATTTATGAATTCTTATGTTGGATTTTCTACTTGCTCAGTTTGGCTTGTGAGAATTCTCTTTTGGATCAATTTGTGTCTCATTTGCTATAGCACATCAAGTAGTAACATAATAATTACTATCTATGTACACTATGTAATGTCTGCATTATGGATGTATTAGAAGAAGCAAGTATATTGTGCAGTGCTTTGAGCTCCTGATAGTACTTCATTGTATCATCATGAGTTTAGAATTAAATATCTAATGTATGTTTTCTTTTTCATTTTTCAGATGTTCAACTTGCCCATGGCTCTTTTCATTCCCCCTTCGGTGTTTGCTGTTCATTTACAGTTTAATCTGCTTTACCAGTTTTGGATACATACAGAGGTAAACCAGGTTTTTAAGCCATACCTAAACAGTTAGCCTGGAGCACTGTCTTGGAAATCCACTAGCAGCTGATTTATTGTGTAAGAAAAATCTTTGTCTGACTTCTTTAAGGAGAAACATCTGTTCATTTTTATTCCTTTTTCTGAATATATATTGCTAAGTTTATAAGAAGAAATGAGGCCAGTTGGTCCCAATTAGATTTAGAAAAAAAAAAGTAACTGTAAGGAATCAAAACTTTTTGCTATTTTAATACTGTATTTTCCTATCTTGCAGCTTATTAAACATTTTTGGCAGATACTGAAGCTGATTTCATTTCTAGGATAAATATTTTAGGGAAAAATACCCAAAAGTAGGTGCTTCTTAAAGATAATTTAGAGTTGCAACTAAATTATGATGTTGTTTCTTTCTTAATGCAAGTAATTCTCAGATGAAAAATTCTCTGTGATTATCTGATGGCTATTTGTTTATGACTACACAACTTCATTTCTGTTTTGTGAATGCATAGACCATATCTAGTTTACATACATACATGGTTAATAACACATTGTAGGTAGCAAGATGTTTCCCACACTTCTCATGTAGTTCAATGGCCTTTGCCTTCTTCCTTACATTGTACAATAGAGGTATTTAAAAGTACTTTATAAGTCAGTAGCATATTTCTCATTAGCCCCAGGTGGGCTGTGGGCTAATTATTTCTATGACACTTACTGGTTTGTTTATTCTGCCCAGACAAATGCCTTTTCCTCTCTGATTTCATGATGCAATATATAGGACAGTTCTTTGGGAATTTTAAAATTTTTTTCTGTGTTTTTCATTAAAAAAAGAATTTAAAAAAATAAAAGTCACATAGTTATAGTGGACCAATAGGAACCTTTGATTGTTGACATTTTTTTTTCTGTTGGACACATTTCTAAAATCATTAACATATGTCTGATGATGTAAAACACCATTTGAATAGGAAAGGCTTAGATAAAATGTCACACACATCACCAGAAGTGGCATAAACTGAAGCAAGACACATTTAAGCTTTTTAAAATATTTTGAAAAAATTCAAGCAGTCTTTGAAACTATACCAAATGAATACTAGGCCTCATATGGTAGCAGTTTCTTTGACCATGCTTTAGGTTCTACAAATTAGTTTTAGTGTGCTTTGCCACTAAAAAATTATAATATGCCTCATCTGTATCTTCTCTGGTGTTTGATGCCATCTCTACTTGGCTGAGAGGTTTCTAACATTCTGCTGTGTAGCAATAACTCAATGAATCTCAGCACTGGTGCCACAGTGCACATCTAGAGTTTCTAAAGTGAATTTCAGAGGCTTATGAATTGCCTACATCCCTCTAAAGTGCTAAATCCTTCGTAGGGCTTAAAAGAATTTCCATAGCATATGTGCAATGTGCCAAGTTTAGACACTAGTCTAAACAAGAATGAATTTCAGTCTCAATGAAAAGATAAGCACTCCTTACTATTAAATTATTGTGCTGGTAGGAAAACAATAGATCTTTTGTATTAGTCCAGTTGATCCACTCATAGAACTTTGCTTACAAGGGAAGTTATTCTTAATGTTGATATTGTTGATTTTATAGCACAGCTGAAATCGGTTGAAATATGTTGGAGTCATGCTCTAAGGTCAAAAATTATGTCGAAATAGAAATAGGGTTACACCGTGTGTTAGCAGATTTCCTGTTCTCAAGGGCAAGGCATTGACAGAAAAAAGTAAGGAAAGGAAGGGAAATGGTATCAACTATTCAGGCTTATGTTACCCTGTATTTTTGGTGAAATTAATATGATGCTTCACCATTATATTGGTGTTTCTTTGCAATAGCTATCATAATTTAACTGTTTAAAACTATTGCTGCTCTTTTTTTTTTCTGATGGTCCTTTTCTGAATTTTAATGATACTAATTTTCTTACACAGATTTTATTATTATGAAAATCCTTTCTTCAAGTCTCTGTTTCTGTCAGTTTAGTCATGTACAGAGTTTGTTCTGGACTGTAGCCTGGGGTTCTATAGCAAACAGCATCCTGTCTCAGCAAGTGCTGCTAGCCCTTGCTCTGAGAGCAGATATTTATCGTCCCCCAGCAGCTCTGGGAGCCCGTGGAGGGTGCTGTTACATGTCATTAGGGGTCTAGGGGAGATACACCTCATTATTTCCCTTCTGCCAATGTAATCTTACAGTAATGTAATCGTTTGCTTGTAAAATGAAGAAGCAATTGATTTTTTTTTCCCCCCAAATTTCTGTTGCTTTTCATCAGTATCAATTTCCTGATACAGTTTTGGCCCACACTGACTAGTCACAGATGTTTGGAAATTGTCACTTCACGACTTTTGATTGCACATCTTTCTCTTTAAGGGAAATAAAATCTAGTAAGATTAAGGGGGGAAAAAATCTCTCTTCCTTAATAGATGGTGATTTTTATTTTTTTTTTTAATACAGGACTGAAAAGGAAAGTACATGCAGAATTTTTTTCTTTTATAGAAGAGAAAAAGGTGTATATAATTAATAGGAAAGATTTTAAGTACATGAAAAAGCTTCTGAGGGAAGATGTTTTGTTTTGAGAGAAATACAAATTGAATTCAGTAATTACAAAAGAATGATCATGCTCGTCTGAAACTTTCTGTGCCATGTTTCAGCCTAGAGCAAAGTTTATAGCCAAATAGAATCCCTGGTATTTTCCTGTACTTAAATTTTACATGTGTCCAGTGTTGCTTTAAAAAATATTAGGAGATGTTTCCTGTGTTATAACTGTAACCTGTCTCATTATTTGTTATGTCAGTTTTTGTCCAGCTTTACTACCAACAGATCAGACATGGTCTATTTTATTTTAACTCAAGTGACTCATATATTCTTGTGACTACAGTATCATAAAGATCAAAAGTACACATTTGTTCTACCTCATTTAGACTTCTGTATTTCCTACATGCTTGGTATACATTAGTTTTTGTAATTTTATATAGAATAATACAGCATTTTAAGCTCTATAAATCTTATATAAAAATTATACTATTTTTCTGGTGCTGGATTCTTTTACTATTGTTTATTATTAGAATGGACTATTGATACAGGAAAGGCATGCCTGAAATTAATAAAGTTGTGTATGCTAGAGTGAAAGTACAACTTTGAGACTTATGTCATATATTTGTGTTCAACTATTTTTTTTTCACTGCATCCTGGATCAATGGGCCAAGGCCAGAGATATAAGATTTGCAGCCAAATGCCAGCTCTTGCATTTTGATCACAACCACCCCATGCAGGGCTATAGGCAGGGGGAAGATTAGCTGGAAAGCAGCTAAGCATGGAAGACTATGGGGGTGCTGGTTGACAGCAGCTGAACATGAGCTGATGTGTGCGCCCAGCTGGCCAAGAAGGCCAATGGCATCCTGGCCTGGATCAGGAATAGTGCGGCCAGCAGGACCGGGGCAGGGATTTCCACCCTGTACTCTGCATTGGTGAGGCCACATCTTGAATCCTGTGTCCAGTTCTGGGCCCCTCAGCACAAGACATTGAGGTGCTGGAGCCTGTCCAGAGAAGGACAGTGGATCTAGGGAAGGGTCTGGTGCACAAGTCTTAGGAGAGTGACTGAGGGATCTGGGGGTGTTTAACCTGGAGAAGAGGAGGCTTGGGGGGGCCTTATCCTCTCTACAGCTGCCTGAAAGGAAGCTGCAGCCACGTGGGAGCCGTTTTCTTCTCCAGGGCAACCAGTGGCAGAACCGGGGGAAATGGTCTCCAGCTGTGCTAGAGGAGGTTCAGGTTGAACATCATGAAAAATTTATTAGTTGAAAGTGTGGTTAAGCATTGGAATGGGCTTCCAGGGAGGTGATGGAGTTACCATTGCTGGAAGTGTTCAAGAAATGTCTGGACATGACACTTAGTGCAATTGTTAAGTGATGTGGTGGTGTTTAGTCAAGAGTAGGAGTTGATGGTCTAGTAGGTCGTTTCCAACCTTAATGATTCTATGAATATTGCACCATGTACATAACAATCTGAAATTATCACAAGATTTTGTCAAGGATTCAAAATAAATCTCTTAAGTATCACCAAAGCATTGAAATAAACTCCTAGTAATTAATTTAAATGAAAAATGAAGGAAAAAAAGGGCAACCCAAGAAGACCCCTGAGAAAAACATTTGACAATGATGGGTTAACTATTGGACTTGATGATCTTAAAGCTCTTTTCCAATCTAAATGATTCTATGGTTCTGTGATCTCAGTAAATCAAAAAAAGGTTTTTTTTGTTCTATCCAGTAATGTTCAGGTCAATTGAATGGCTCAGATCTACTCTTAAATAGTCTGGGAGAAATGCTTCTGTGACCAGACAGACCATTCTCGTATAGCTCATAAGGGAAGTAAAAAAAAAAAAAAAAACAAAAAACAACTTTAGTCAAAGGGCACTAAAAAACGAATTTTTCAAAAGCCACAGAATGTTTCAGGACTGTTACTGACAGACAGAAATACTCATTTTCGGTTTATTTTTGCAGGTGATTCAGAAGGTCTATGGCTTATATTAAACTATATCCTTCCATTATGCATTTATTACAACCAGTAAGTTAGGTGTGTTTATAACCTGATAGACACCTGTGAAAAACAGAAATTAGTTTCTGTTGCTTTAGCTGTAATTTTTATGAGATGTCAAACTGTATTTAGAAAGTATCAACTGATCCAGTCCCTGATGGTAGTAATTGCAGCAGCAGATTAGTCCTTGCCTATTTGATCTTTTACGTGTATTGGTTTCTGTTTAATTTTCTAATTTAAGGAGAGAATATGATCTGCCCTTTAGCATACTCACAGAAGTCAGTTTTTTTAAGGCATCTCTTTTATAAGTCTTTTTACCTCATCCAACTCTGGGAGCAGAAAAAGGTGAGCCACAACTATTAACCAGAAGTAACATGGGTGAAAACAGGTGAGGAATGGGAATAATTTTAGCAGCACCTCATGCAGACTGGAAGCAGAGGCATAAAATTGCTACAGATATAGGGAAAAATACAATTGGTGTTATCA